CTTCCTCTCATATGAATCACCAGGTTCAATAAAGTCGAGAATTTCAAAAGGGCATTCAAGCTGCTTACACATATAAGGCCCCTAAATACACTGCTCACACGAGGAATTTTAGTCACAGGATCAGTGAGGGGCCATCACCAGAAAAGCAAGCCAGGGTTAAAAGGAAGGGCCCAACTAAAAATGCAAAAGGAGGCTGTCAAAAATCACCTGACTGGAGAAGGCATGCCCAGGCGTGGGAAGTGGGAGAGCCCCCTGGCTGTTGGCACGGCCATCGTAGGGTGTGAATAACACAAGGATGGCATTTACTTGGAAGAAGGCTCATTTGTTGAGATGACTGCCTTTACAGAAAGGCAATCAGAGCCACTGGGCAATGAGGATGACTGGGTTCAATGGGCATCTCCCATCCCTCCTTCTCCAGCAGCACAAACAAAGGTAAAGCAAGATTGGGAGCTACCATTTATACAAAAACTGTATTGTAACTACAGAGGCTTAAAATCGTGTGAAATTGATGGAAACTGTAGAACAAAGGCCGATGGAAGACTATAGTATATGACACAAACACATTAACCTACACCCTACATTTATATGTGAACACCTTTGCTGTTTAATGGATGAGCTACTAATAAGTCAGAAACAGTTTAGCTGATATCCATTTGTTCATAAACTGTCTCTGTGAGGCTAAAAGTAAGTTGCTGCTTTAAAGAAGTCCATCTCTCCTAGTTAAAATTATTTTGGTCTCAATTTTACGAAATTAATATAATGTGGGAGACAGCACAACAATTTTTGCTGGCTTCCAAATTAAAAATAGTTGAAATGACATATCTTTTATTTTGGAAAACCAGGGACAAAAAGATATTCCCAGCCAACAAGTGAAGTGCCAAGTTTCTGTCAACTGCTTGGTTATAATTTGGAGAGTTAGAATTAAATTTTATATCTTGAAAAGTGTAGTTTTCGGAAAAAGAAATGATGTAAGGCCGTTGTTGCAGGCAACTTTTAATCAGGCTTCTAATAACGATGACCCTCCCATCGTTCAGTGCTCTGCACTGAATCTTGAGACTTTTTAGCTGGAGAAACTCCCCTGTCAGGAGGCCCCACAAGGAAACACCTGGGGCTCCATGAACACAACTCCCCCAGTCCTCTCCTTCATGTCAACCTTGACCAACAGTGAGAGCCACAGGCCTATCTCATACCACCATGCCCCGTTTCATGGTCTAGGGTGGAGACCACGAGAACAAAACTGCACTGATGAAAACCATAGCTGTACCAAAAAATACTGTACCAGGTACCAAGTTTATATTCCACATCAGTGGTCCTTAGCCCTGGCTGCACACTAAAATCATTCTGCACATTAAAATCATTTGAAGATATTAAAGAAAATACCAATGTCTAGGGCCTATCCCAGTGAATCATAATTTCTGGGCCCTGGCATTTTGTGAAAAACTCCCCAGCCAAGGCTAATGTGCAGCCGAGGTTAAGAACTGCTGCTGGCTATGGGCGACAAGGCACAGAATCAGCAGGAACTTAGCTCTCCACAGTCAGGTGAGCACCTATTCCCTGAACATCCTAGCCACGTGACCACTGGCTCACCTGTCCTGACATGCAATGATTTGCATATGCCTTCTGGCTTCCAGGAAAGAGCTGCTGGAACACACAGGCCTGGAGCCCTCTCAGGTCTGCCTCAGTCTAAGCTGTGGGTGAAATCTACAAAATTCATTTTTCTGTCAGCCCAGAAAGCTGCCCATACAAGCAGTGTTAAGTGGGGGCTCAGTCGGAAGAATGGCTGATAGTCTGGAGAAGGGATTTTATTTCACAATTATACACGTTAAGAAACCTCTAACAGGAGTAGGGGTGGGGGGCATTGAGAGCCCATTTAAAACAGTATTCTATCTACTGACTTTGAATCCCACTGGGTTCCATTCAATCATCTTTCTGCTTAGTTTTAGTTGAAGGAGCAAGAAAGACTCCCCTTAATAACCAGGCAAGAAAGCATCAAGTGTTTTCTCTCTTTTGGAAACAAGTAGGTGTCTACACGCTTGAATTTGTCACTGTGCTCCAGTTTTGCAGACAGTGATCTGGCTGGCACAAAGATTCACAGACTCAGTGCCCACAAACAGCTGCACCCTACAGTACCAGCAGGTGCACGGACAGAGCCCAGCGAAAAAATTCAGTGCAAGAACAATGGCGCCGTTATAACGCCAAGGGACAAGGCCCCAAACTAGCCACTACTTCACTACATTTGATGACGGGAAGAGCTAGAAACTGAGCTGCAGCTCCCTGGGATTTGGCCTTTTTGGCCCTAAATCATAACCACAGATGCAGCCAGGTAGGGCACCACAGTGAGAGCAGCTATCAAATGCATGGCCAGACCAACTAGAGGGTAAGTAAAATTAAAAAAAAAAAAAAATCGCTCCAGAAAATGTATTCCTTTCCTTTTAACACATCTTCTCCTCTCCTGAGCTGCATTGTCACCAAGTTTACATTTACATCCAAATATGCACACACAAAAAAATTAAGGATGCATCTCACTCCCCGGTGACTTTATAATAGGTTGCTAGGTAACAGTGCATACAAGTCAGGTTTCAGGACCTCCAGTAAGCCACCATAAAATAGCCGCATGAGTCTTTTGCATAAATAGTGTGTGCATTTGTTATCTGTTTTCTTACGCCAATTGATCAGTCAGTAAATATTCTGACTGCCAAACCATAAGCAACTCCCCATCAATAGCTAACTGAAAACACAGATCACAATATAAGGCTTTGATGAGCAATTCTTCCCCCTAACCTATCAATTGGCTTCTCCCCTTTGGTCTCTGCTGCTTGCAGTGCTGGCTCCAAGCAGCCTTATCTTATGCTCCCTGAGATTGGGTCTGGAGCTAATTACAGTGTAATGTGGGCACTCAGAGCTGAACCCAGCAGGAGCCATGCATCATACACAAGGGTTTTATCCAAAGACCAAACCTTCCCTGTTCCCACTCACCTTCCTCTAGATTTTAAAACATCCCTGGAGTTATGGAGTAAAGGGAGTAACACCTTACTCGGAGTAATTCACCCCCACTCAGATTGCCCTTGTCTGTTAGGTAAGGAAACGTCCCCCTTTCGAAGCTATGTGATGTGAATGTGTCATTTGCATTCCTTCCCTGGGGATTGCACTATAAGGGCCCATAAAAGGAGTCCCCTTTGCTATCACGGTGGCAGGGAGGACAATCAAGGAAAAACTAGAGTTCCCCTGGAGGTGAAATCCTAAAGGATCAGAACAGCAAACAGGAATGCATGAAAACATGCATTTTCCCACCTGCTCAAAAATTTCTAAATATAAAACTCAAAGTCTCTAAAAATCACATTTTCTCCTCGATTGGAATAGAAGAGGCAGAAGTCAGGGGAGAGGGGTGATGAGGAGCAGAGAAGCCAGTGTTCTTTAGAGCCACAGTCAGAAACTTGGCTGATTCCAGCACAGGGCCCCCTCACACTCACTGCCAGCTGGTGTGCTTCACTGTTATATTCCCTGCTCTTTGCCTACTTGGTTCATTTCTGGGACATCTCATTTTCCATCCCCTACCTTTCCTCATTTCTTCCAACTAGTGTCTCCCACTCCTGAGGAGCAAAGATCTGGGGTGAGGGGGACATTCCAAAAGACCCGACTGAAGTGTCCCTGAGCAAAGGGACTTCAGAGTGGAGCTGAACCTCTAATTCACCTGGCAATGACATTTAGTGAAATGCAACTCACAGTCCATTTAAAGGAAGGCGGTGACCAATTATTCTCCATTTAAAAGGGTATTGTCAATCTCCAAAGAGCTGACATGGCATTTGGAAATCATGGTGGAAACTGCCATCTTCACTGAAATACAGAACCAATTCTCCACCGACCTTCCCCCACCCCCTACATCTCCTTTAAAACTTAAAAATCATACTTTTAAAAGCATAATGAGTAGCCGCACAATCTTGCAACATACCTTCTCATTCCAAAAGAGAATGATAGGAAAAACAGAGTGACCTAAGACCTTGATGTCCCTGTTCAACACCACAACTTAAATCAAATATGTTGGGGAAAAAATGATAAAAAAGGAAACATCATGTACAATTTGATGGTGATAGAAAGTAATGTCAACTAATAAGAATATATCTTTATAATTTATACTCCATCTTTTTTTCCCAAATGGATCAGGACAGTTTTTTTAAAAAAAGAAATTTTTTTAAAAATGTGTTTTTAAATTCCACTTTACATGAGGTCCCCAGAGTGGTCAAATTCAAAGACATAAAGCTGTGGTCTCCAGGGCCTGTGGGGGAAGAGGCGAACTGAGAGTGGTTTAATGAGCTTCAGTTGGAGAGAATGAAAAAGTTCTGGAGACGGATGGTGGTAATGGTTTGCACAACAATGTGAACATACTTAATGTCACTGAACTGCGCACCTAAAATGGTTAAAATGGTAGATTTTATGTTAAATATAGTTTGCCATAATAAAAAAATTTCTCGTTTAAAAAAACCTGAAAAACTTCTTAAAGACAGTTATCATTTGCTCAAATTTTAGAAGTCTATAATTCCTAAAAGGAGTCTTTGTATATATGTCCTTTAAAAATCTTATAAATTAAGACAGTAAAGAACTTGAATAATGCCAAAATGAGGTATTCCATACAAGTCCAGTGCAGAAGAGACATGTTAAACAGGGCCCAAGGTCACACAAGCAACTGACACAAGCCTGGCTTACCATGTGACCTTTCCCACCTACAGTAAGAACTCATCAAGGGGAAAAAAAACAGAAACAAATCAACAATCCCTACTGTTTTGAGACCCAAGCCAAAGCAATACTACTTCCAAAGGATTACACACACACAAAGTCAAGGAGAAAACGTATGGAAGTGCAGACTATCCAAATTTAAAGGGACCTTGAAATCATCTAGTTCTACCAGCTTATTTTACAAATGAAAATACTGGTAGACAGAGAGAGAGAGAGAGAGAGAGAGAGAGAGAGAAAGAGAGAGAGAGAATACAACCCTATTCAAGTACCTGACAGCTTCATGAGAAAATCAGACGCCATCTTAACAGAGATGTCCTGGCTGAACAATGCTGACGCACTGTTGGCCACATACTCGGAGGGGTCTTTCAGCTTTGTGTGGTTGGCGGGCCTGTCGGCAGCATTCAAAGTAAAGGAGGTGGGCAGGCCGTTATCTTCCTTGGGTTCCTCCTTCACCAGCAAAGGCGAGACGCCAGCCCCTCCCTGGCTAGTCCTCTCTGGAGTGTTAGACGTCATCATGGTCCCCACTAGCTCTGTCCCTCCTCCTTCCCTTTGCTGCCCCAGGCAGGCACTGTCACTGAGGTGGGGAGATCCCTTGACATCTGGGTCTGGGATCTCCTCCTTCACCTTGGCTTCTGTCCTCAGGAAGTGCTGATGGCAACGCATGTGGAGTTTCAGGCTGAAGTGGCGTGAGGAAGTAAAAGGGCACAGCTGGCACTGAAAGGTCTCTCCCCGATCCTGGTGCTGATGAACCTGACGGAGAAGCAAGAAGAATGAGCTAGCCACCATGCATTTATGGAAAATGCCTTGCTGTAGATCCAAACTATTCATCAATCATTTCCTCACCGGGCAAAGGGCTGGCCTTTGTACCGCAGAGCGTTTCATTACGGGACTCCAGGTAATGAGGCCAATCCCTAAACATAAAGTGGGTCCCCAAAGGTTAAGAGTCCATTATTAGGGCCACACTCACAACTGAGGATGCAGCCGGCCAATGGATGCTATTTTGGGTAGCATCCCAATATTCTAGTCATCTGATCTCAGTTGATGTCTTTGGAGAAAGTATTATGAACCCAGCACAATCCAAACTTACATAATTACTAGTTGGGGGTCAAAAGAGGTAACCTGTCAAGTAATCCCTCTCACAATAATAACACTTTGCATGTATCCAATTTTTTGTTACCCAGAGAATTAGTTATGTTTTGCAAACATAATTTCAATTTTTAAAATGCTGCTCTTAATTAAGAATGTAGAAAATAATGTCTCCAGGGTATTCCCGTTTCAAAGGCAGAGAAATTGAGGCCCCAGAATAAATGGATTGAGCGAAATTACATACAAAAAAGAAAAAAGCAAAGTAGGAGAAAAACCAAGGTCTGACCCTCACCAAGTATTCTGAGCAAAAGGAAACCAATTTTTCTAAACGTGGCTATAATATCATGCTCCAGATTCTGACGTCTGCAATGAAAGAATGCAGACTTTTAAATCCAGTTCCAGTCTTACATGCACACGATACCTGTAAAAATTGGGAGAAACTTTTTTCTTCCTGTCACTACCAAATTTAGTGCTTAAAAAAGTGAGGAAATCATTGCATTGGCCTGAGCCAGGCTTTGAGCTGGCAGGTGCTCATAAGCTTGTAACTTCCCCATTCATCTCTGCCAATGCACTTTAGTGCTGACCTGCTACACTCTGCTATTTCAGGACTGGCCCTCCCTTAAGTAGAAACTGCCAATTGTGTAGATGTGGGCCAAATGATTTGGGGAGCTGTGTGATCCGAACAAACAAGTAAGTGATTGGAATCCAAAAGCAAAACAAAACTGACACCTCCTCTTTTAGGGGTGACCTAAGCAGGACTCGAACCCAGGTCTCACCAAGGTTAAAGGCTCACGGGTTAATCCGTTGAGCCACCTGGCCCCTCTGGGTAGGTTTCCTTTCCAAGAGAGCAAGTTTTACAACAGCTGTTTATGCATTCTGAATGCAATCCAAAAGCATTATTCACCAGCCAAAACATACTTTTAAATAATGTTAAGTGACCAACAAAAGCAAAGAAATTAAAAGTTAATGGTGAGATCCTGTCGCTACAGCACCCCACTGTGGTTTTTTGAAAAAAACAACAGAAGAGATTCTGGGTCCCCCAAAGCATGAGTTTCTCAACAGAAATAGCCATATACACTTAAACCCAGTTAGGCAAAGTCCTGATCATGAAAAGGCTTTTCCTCTGCTGGGGTGGTGTGCTGGGGGTGGGGAAACACACCGATTGTCACCAGCTGTTAACATCACCCCTTTCTGTTCTTTCACAACAAAGGGATTTCACTGGGAGCTGATCATTTCATTTGCTTTCTCACAGAATCCCCACCATCTCCTCCAACCAACAGTCCCACAGGACCCTGACCGGTGCTGCCAAAAGCATGCCCCAGAACCAGGTGGTAAAGGTCACGAGGCAGAGAGCTTCCATCGTCCCTGAGAGCAGTGCAGTGGGGCAGATCCATTTCAGAAGTGTCCTTACATCTACTGACCCAGGAGAGGAGAGGAGCTAATCCAAGAACAGAAGCTCCGGAAGCAGCTTCTGGAAGGAGGAAAAGGACAGAGCGCGAGCCCAAGTTCTAAAATCAAAAGGGAGCCCTGGATTAAAAACAGTCTGTGTGCATGTATTTTATGTGACTTCTTTTCCACGAGATCCTGGCCTTGTTATATTTAGTTACGGACAAATTAGTGAAGCTTTAAAGGAAAAACAGTGGGTATTTTGTTGACTTTTGCACTTAACAGTTTTTTTTTTTGAGCTACACCTTCCCAAAGGGACTATATATCACATTTGGCCTTTGAGAGAAGTATTAGCTCTATCCTCTGACTGCAGTTTTTTCCCCCTTCTCTCCTGACATTCGAGCACTTTTCTGTCATAATTTTTATTCTCTTTAGCTTGACATTTGCTTTAAAGACCCTTTTAGTCTACTAAAATGAAGGGATGCTTCTCTAAAGCACGTCATTCTTTCTAGGCCATGTTTAGGGGCTCACCTACCCCCTGGTCATTTCACATAAACAACCCATATCAGGTGCTGTTACATCATTAGGGCCATCTCTTCACCACTGGGGCCATTTCTTGGTAGCAGTTGGATGCTTGGGTTGTAGTACTTCAGAGCTTGGGGAAATTTTGGGAAACCTCTACTGCATCCCCCACCAGGGGGACAGGTGAGGGCCTTCACGAGAAGTTACAGCTCCTTAAATGGCAGACCTGAGACTACTAGAACTCAGTACCCTGACCCTTGGTCAGTTTCCTGTCAATACTTCACCAGTGTTCTTTGTCTTAGCAGTCCTCCTCACCTTTTCTGTTCAATTTTAGTTTATGAATTCATGTTGAATTCCTGTATGTTCACTTATCCAGGAAAATTTTAAAGGACTTAATGGAAATCTGAGATAACCCTGAGGAAGCTGGAGGCTTTTATAAGCTCCTTCCACAGCAGGTCATAAAAACATTTGCACAATATATTATGAAGGGAAGGTGGGCTAAAAGAACGTACAGTGACTAGGACATAATAGGATAGAGTAAGTACTATAATACAAATATAGTAAGTACTATATTTGTTGAACAAAGAAAGTAGAATCTCATTTTTCTTTAAAAAAATTGATATACCAATATAAAAGAATATACATCAAAGTGATCATGGTTATTTATCATTCTGGGTGATGGGATTAAGGATCAATTTTATATTCCTTTGTTTATCAGTTTTTCTAAGTTCTCAGCACTAAAGACAGATCACGAAAAAGGGAAAGGGAATAAAATTTATTTTAGAGTAATTTTTTATACCATTTCATTGATTATTTCTAAATGCGAACAAACATTAATGTATATTCAGATGGTTTTCGGATGATTACTGTATTAGCTACCTTTACTGAATGTTGTTTCTCCAGGCTAGGCACTGTATTAAGTGCTTTATGTGCATTATCTCATTTAACTCTTATAACAACCTCATGAGACAGACTGTAGGATTATCTCCATTAGTGGAAACAGAGGTTTGGAGAGGTTAAATGATTCCTTCAAAGTCTCACAGCCCCTAAGGTGGAACTGAGATTCTAACTAGGGTTTCTCTGACCATACAGTTTGAGATCTTAATCTCTGGCTATACTGACCCCACTTCTTAGGCAGAATTCATTTAGAAAATCTGTCCACGGCCGGGCATAGTGGCTCACGCCTATAATCCCAGTACTGCGGGAGGCCAAGGCAGGTGAATTGCCTGAGGTCAGGAGTTCAAGACCAGGGTGGTTAACATGGTGAAACCTTGTCTCCACTAAAAATACAAAAATTAGCAGGCGTGGTGGTGCACGCCTGTAGTCCCAGCTACTCAGGAGGCTGAGGCAGGAGAATCGTTTTGAGCCGGGAGATGGAGGTTGCAGTGAGCCGAGATGGCGCGATTGCACGCCAGCCTGGGTGACAGAGCTAGACTTTTTTTTAAAAAAAAAAAAAAAAAAGTCTGACCATCCACATTTGTAGTATCTGGTGGATGTAGCAGAGGATATCTACCCATAAGACTACAATCATTATATTTCCAGGTAGACTAGATTTGCAAAATGTAGCAAAATTAAAGTATGTTTAACCAAATAAAATCATGAATGCTTTGATTAAAAAAAGAACAGCCAGTAAGTGAGGTGGAAAGCAGGGACAAGAAAGAATATACCATTTGATAAAATTAAACTTGCATGAGCTTTTCTCACACTTCCCGTATCAAAAGCTCAAGTCATAGCTCAACAGGTTAGGACACCATGAGTTTGAATAAAGTAGTAATTTCACACAACTGCTTTATCGTACTGGTTATTGATTTGTTCTGAAAGCATTCTAAGACCCCACGACCCGCAAAGCCCTTGCAGCTCTCATCTGTGACACTGCCATGGCCGGCCGTCTGTGTCATCAAGGCACCCAACTTATCTCCCTGTAGTTTCAGGGTCAGTAGTTCCTGCTATTGAAAACCCTGCTTTTTTTCCATGGGTTTATAAATAGGTTGTTTTACGTGACCCCGAGCTGAAACCAAGCTTACAAGGTGTCAGGCTAGATGCAAGTTTTCTGCCCGCTGAAGCTTTAAATTTGCCAGACCTGATTTCTAAACACAGCTTAGGAAATAGTAACTAAAACAAATTTTCATTTTAAAGGCATTTCTTTTGAAGTCTCATCCTACTAATGAAATTCAACTTTGCAGGTTTAAAATATAAGTTTTTACTTTGGGAAGAAGTGACAGAGGATGAGGAGGGTTAAGTAAAAACTAAGTCGGCTGAGTAAAATTCAGCCAACCAGAACTCCTGGTTAAATGGATTCTAAAGATGAAGGGCATGCTACTCCCAGGAGACAAAGGCAAATGACAGAAAACAAATTACATCATGGATTTAAATTTTTTTAATCTTCCAAGCTATTTCCTAAAGTCAGTAGAGGTTCTATCTGGTCACACTTTTTTAGAGCTATAATTCTGAAGAGTGATTACTTATCTATTTAGAAGGATTAGATCGCAAGATTTCCAAATAAACAAATACCTTAATTATGTCCATACATTATGCTTCTTACGGTAGGAAAGCAAACACTTTATAAATAATGTCAACAGTCAAATCATATCAAAAATATCAGTGAAGATATGATTGCTATTAAGATGCTCAATGATAGTTATTAGAATTAAATAACTTCCATTGAAAATTCCTGTGTCAGACATGTGGCTAATATTCTCTCTTTAAATACTAATGATAAGTCTTCCAGACAAACATTATCATTCCCATTTAACAGAAGAGAAAATTCAGAGTCTAAAGGTTAACTTGCTCAAGACCACTTAGCTAGTAAGTTGCATAATAAGATTTCAATTCAGGTCTATCAAATTCAAAAGCCCATGCTCTTTTGATCCCATGAGTTTCCTCCTTGATTGTGAGACAAAACCCTTCACATTAATGGGGTCAGCTAAAAAGATTTCCATCTAACTAAGTTTTCCCCCATCCTACATAAGACGGACTCATGGATTCTAGTCAACTCTTCTGTACATGTTTAGTGTAGGTTTGAGCTCCCCAGTTGTTTTTAATAGGACATTGAAAATTATGTCCTTGGATGTTTGGTAAATGTAATCCTGGGAATTATGATAGCTCAAACAATGACAGCCTCAAGGAGAGCTACAGTCTTGCTAGAAAGGGCCCCCAAGCCTCCCACAGGGCTAAGTAAAGTTAAAGGCCAGGTGCCTTCAATGTCTTCATGCCTCCTACACAGTGTCTCTGCATGTTCATCTGAGTTTGCAAGCTGGAGAGTAAGGCAGTAACAGACAAGGGCTCTCTCTCCAGGAAGGGTAGCAGGTTCAAGAGCCCTCTCTTTGGTGCTCAGTCCAGCAGCTCTTCCTGAACTTGGCTTTCCCTGCTTCTTGCTGTTCCCCAATCCTGCCTCTGAGTGCCCCAAGAAATGCGTCAGCACACAGGCCAGGCAGGCTGCTGCTCCCCTATAGGAGAGGACCACCCTCCGGTAAGTACATTATTTGGATATTGAAGGTTCTCTCTGCCTTTAAGTTCTTGGCTGCAAAGTGGACATTAACACCTTTCTGTTGAATTCTACCTTGCTACACGGAGTACTGTCAACCACATGCTCCATCAGTGAGACGCCCTCCCTCGGCCAAGAGGGATGTCCCCCTGCGCCAGACCATGTACAGGAGCCCTGGCTGTGCCTGTCTCTCCAGGAGGTGCCGTCGGTAGGTGGCTTACCTTCATGTGGGATTTGAGATTGTCCTTGCGAGCACACCGGAATGGACACAGTGGACACTGATGACTTTTTAAACCTGTGTGAATCACCATGTGCCGCTTCCAGTAACTCTTCCTTTTAATAACCAAACCACATATTGGACACTGGAAAGGCTTTCCACTTTCCTCTTCTGAGGCTTGGAAGAAAGAGAAAGAAAGGAATATTAAGGAAAACAAAAAGGTACATTGCATCTGGCATTAATTCACATACACCGCCATATAAAAAGCACTAAAAATGATTTGGGGTTGTTTCTTGACAATTCCGAGATTTTATCCATAAGAAAGTTTTAGTACTGCTTTTCTTCAGGTAGAAACCCATATTCATCTGGTTACTTTCATCTGGGCTCCATTTTCCAAAATCTGATCATCCTGCCTTGTGAAAGTCTGACTTCCAAAGGCCATCTAGCACAAAGGAAGACATCTGCAAAGGGGCTTTGCCCGGCCTGTCCTAACTCAGGGCCCAGGGGCACCATGCACAGTCAGAGAAGCCTGAATGCAGGGGCTTTGTTTCCTGAAGGAAACTGTCAGACTCAAGTCCATGTCTGAATTCCTGAACTTGGAAAACAGTGAGAAATAAAAATAAATCACATGGGACAGAGAATAATGCACTGCTCCACACTGAAAACCAAACAGCTATCATAAACTTCACTCTCTGAACTCCAATGGAGACAAATTTTTGGATCCCTACTGCTGACTTGTTTAGTTGTGGCTTGAGCAGATGCTGCTGCCAGTGTAGCCATCAGGGGGTCTTAAGGTCAGGGTTTTTGACCCTTTTATTTCTGTCCCTTTGGTAGCCACTGACAATATGTGCTGCCTTCCTCTGCACGGTGACTGGGCTTTGCTGACCACTTTCGGAAGAGCTGCAATGGGGCCACCACAAATGCTCCAATCTTTCAAGAAATTAAACCAACCAACTACCTCCTCCAAATAAAGCTAAAGTCGCTCTCAAAGTGAAGGGTCTCTGTTGTGACACTATTGCTAAACTTCTGGTCTACCAACTTACATTGCCCACTGCCACACTAGCCTCTGCAATTTGAGGATACACGGAGTAAAAATAAGCAGAATCAAGGGCTTAGACATTTCTTTCTTAATCATAAGGAATCAGAAATATTTCAAAACCAGTTAAATGACTTGGCATATGTGCCCACAATAAAATATAGAAAGTACTTTTTAAAATGAGCTAGATTACAGACGATGATATAAAAACATGTCCAAGATATTAGCATTGGTGGATAAAGCAAGATACAAAACCATATATCCAGGGTGATTCTATTTTCGTTTTCTAAAAAAATAGGAATCAGTCACAGCTAAAACCATTAGGTGAAATATTAGCAGGGAACTTTATAAAGGATGGATCAAGTTGACAACACCTAAAACCACTAATTAATCTTAACATTATTAAAAATGGGGCAGATACCGTGTGCCTTCTGATGTCATCTGTGAAATGTCCTTATAAAAAATTAAACAATCCTCTATATAACTAGCCCTTTATTGGAAATACAATTGATTTTTTAAAAAAGTGTTAAACACACCAACGGGATGAAATCAGCCAAATCTATAACGTGTGAATTCCTCAGGACAAATGACCCAGTTTCTTCAACATGTAAATGGCATTTTTAAAAGAGAAGAGGTTATGGAAAAATAAAGACTTAAGAGATATACACAAAAAAATGCAAGGTGTGAAGCTTATTTGGATTCTGTTTAAATAAAACAACTGTAAAAGGACATTTCTCAGATAATTGAGGAAATACTGATTATAGCTTGGGTGTTCCAAAATATCATTTAGCAATTGTTATTCCTGTTAGATGTGATAGTGGAATTGTGATTATTTTTTTAAGTCCTTATCTGTTGAAGATATATACACGGAAGTATTTACAAGAAAGCTGATCATGATGTCTGGGATTTGCTTTAAAATACTTAAGAAAAAATAAAAGGAGGGAATGGGAAGAATGGCATGAATAAACAGAACAAACAAAAAATGGTATCTTTTTATTTGCATGAAAACTTTCTGGAAGCATACCCAGGAAAACACTAAGCAGTTATCACTGAAGGATTGTGGATTAAAAGGAAGGAATCAGGAGGGCAACTTGTGTTTTCATTTCACATCCTTCTGTACTATTTGAATTTTTTAATGTACATGTTACCCTTCTAATTTTAAAAGAAAATATTCCCAAGAGTATACTTTAAAATAATCTCATCATGTATTTATTGGGTCAACTGAGTCTCTACATACAAAGGAACACTTCAAATGGATGGAACCAGAAGGTTCTGGAATAAAGTTAGAGCATTCCAAAAATGCAGTTTTACTAATACAGGTCTATTGGTTAGCTCAACCATGCAACTTGAAAAAGAATCAAGTCTGGAAATTCTACTTGTGATGTGTTCCACCACATGTATTTCCTTTTGTAATTGGGGGAGTAAGAGGAAATGAGGGTTTCCTTTTACTCTAGGAAGAGCACACGTTGTAGACACACATAAACAAGCATTTTTATTAACCCCCTGTAGCTTTTCTGCTGTCTGTTTTTGTGAATTGCCTCTGCCGATCTGGAGTCCTATTTGTAATTATGTCTCTCATCTTCTATCCTTCCCTTTCATTTCCTCCACCCTGATATTTTGATCATGAAGACTACATGATGAACAACAGACTGGAGAGAAAGGACTGAATCAGGCCTCTACGTGAAATTACTGTCATACGCTACAGGGAAAAAAATCATAACAATGTCTATTTGGGGTTGTAAGAACTTCAAAATAATAGGAAAGAGATAAACAAACAGGCTGTCATTGATCCCTATCTTCAAGAAGTATGTCCCACTATCAAATTCCTAAACTACCTAATTTTACAGAACTGTCTAGAAGAGGAGAGAAAAATTGAGATGTCTTCCACTGACCTGAGATTTCATGGCACACCATAGCAAGGCAATAAAAGGGCATTAGCTGAAAAAATGAACTCCGCCGGCTTCCCCTCACATCTTGCCTTGCCTAATGTGACCAATGCATTTCCTATTCTTTCTGAGACCCACAGTCTTCACCTTAATCAACAATTCTTTATTTCAAATGTATTACAGAGTACATTACATTTAACCCTGCATATTACTATTTCATATAAATCCATTTAGCTATGCTTCCTTAGTTTTAATTAGTACCAAAATACACGAGTTGGGAACAAATTAGGGTGCACTTGAACTGACTAGGAAAAAAATTAACACACAATGAAGAGAAACCAAAAACACACACAATGAAGAGCAACTAACTGCAAGAAATGCGGTCAAATAGCTACACTACTATAATTTTTGAAATTTTTAACTGATCACAGCAGGAAAGGAAGACGACAGAAACCAAATGATAAAAGAAACCCAAGTACCATGATTGATTTTCACCTTTGGCCAGTAATCTCCCCTGATAACATCTGCATTTTTATTTATTCAAGAAAGAAATTTCATATTTTAGTAGGATGCTCTCCATGTGTTTATGATGTTGTTAAGTACTTTAAAGAAGGGAGGAAGTAAGGTTGTATTCTATTTCGTATGCCAAACTATTTTCAGGGAACTGACAGCTGTAAATTTCACTTAAAGTTAGAACCTAAGGAAATATGACCACTTCCTCAGAATGAACCATACACTTTTGAGGCAATAGGATTGAAATGTTCATAATTTTGCCTAGTTTACAACTGCCTAATAAATAACTTTTCCCAAGTATATCACTAGCTACTTATTATCACTGCGAACAACACTAAATTCCACCAAATGCTAAGAGAACCAGTGGGATGAATAGCTGCTGATCTGCTCCTCTGGAGATAACTATTCTCTTCATAGGCAGTAATATTATTGGAATAAAAGAAATAATGAATGTGCACAAGACACCTGTCACATAGTAAATAGAAGCTACTTGTAGTAGCAGTTGTTGTATTAAGAGTAGTGACAATAAACAAACTCCAAACATGCCCTGCAAAGCTGAAAACTCACCCTCAGAGCAGATGTAAATCTAAACAACTAACATCACATAATAAATACACGGTTCAGAGCTTGGCCCAACATGGTAGTTTGTCACTGGAGCCAATAAGAAACACATAAGCAGAAGTCCATAGTGTGGCTCAGGTAGGGTCTGGCTCAGCCTAGACAAAATACTGATGGATAATCCAGCTCAGCAGGGAAAAAAAAGACATGGAAAAGATAGTAAAGAGTAGAGGGAGGAACTGGCTGCAGTAGGGCCTGGAAGTCCTTACCTTTGTGTCTCCAGCACCCAAACAATGCCAGGTACAACATATAATTCAATAAGTGTGTGTTAGACCATAAGGAGATTAAATGAAAAAGGTTGGGTTAAGGGAATAGAGAGAAGTGAAATGAGGGCTAGAAATGAAAGGAAAAGATGCAGGAGGCTGCCAGTAAGTCCCAATGGAACTTGTGTTAGGCCAAGAGTGTGTGTATGCCTTTCACATAGTGCCCCAATACACATTCTAAATGAATGGATGGATAAACAGATAAATGTTCATGTACTTAGACCTCAGCTATTTCCAAAAATGAACCTGGAGCAGCTTATATTAAAAATGCATATGGTATGACTACATCATTAATAAAGTACAGTGATATATGTTCAACTATTTATAATGAACAAGATCTGCCCAAAGCAGAGAAGATCTTGTGGGAAACTTGATAGTGAATTTTAAGAAGCAACATTAAACTCAAAAATTAGGGGAAAAAAAAAGTTTGTTTTGAGTTAATAAACAGAGTTTTAAAACACTGAGCAGTAAATATAAGCAAGGAATTCTAAAACAGGAAAGGATCTTGCTGATCATCCAGCTCTGTTTACAGATGAGGATACTAAACTGAGGTGGTATGCCGTGAGTCTCTCTACTAGTTAGTGGCAGAACTGAGATTACAGCTCATCTCTTCACTTCTGGTTTGCTGCTCTACCCTATTGCCTATGCATAAATCCCCAAAACAACAACAAAACTTCATTGGGATAAAAAAAAAATTTTTTTTTTAAACCACGGAGGGTTGTAGTAGCTTAACCGCTTTAACACAAAGGTATTTTAAAAACAAATGCAACTGTTTTGTAGGCTTTGAAATCAAACTTCCTGTTGTTCAATCCTATGTGGTGATTTGCAGCAGGTCAACATAACTTGCAATTGGATAGTTTCTGCATATAGACCTTACCATAAACTTAAGAGTTCAAGATGCCTGGTGACCCTGGGTCTGCATAATCTGTGCATTATAATGGTCTTCATTCTGGACCTACTAACACTACCGGTGCACATCTGTGTAAGATGACGACCCATCTTCCTTCCCAACAATACACATGGATTTTAAATCTTTTAACAGAATTGCTGTGTCATGTGTCTCAAATGCCATTTCATGGCAACAAAAACAACCTAGATTAGCAATGGATGTCCCTGGGTTTATCTGTTATTATGGATGCAGACTTTATTAATGCCTACTTTAACTAGTAAATATTCAGAGAAGTCTGATATCTAGAGCCATACTAAGTTTAAATCACTGCAAAAATATAATTGAGATGAACGACGGACGGTTCTAAAAATCTTTGTTAAAAAGTGAATTTTCTAAACAGGTTCACGTATGGGATCATTCTCAGATTATGGCTGATTGAGACTTATGGCCGGGCCCTGTGGTTCACGCCTGTAATCCCAGCACTTTGGGGGCCTGAGGAGGGTGGATCACTTGAGGCCAGAAGTTCGAGACCAGTCTGACCAGCATGGCAAAACCCCATCTCTACTAAAATTACAAAAATTAGTCGGGTGTGGGGGTGCATGCCTGTAGTCCCAGCTTCTCAGGAGGCTGAGGCACAAGAATTGCTTGAACCCAGGAGGCAGAGGCTGCAGTGAGCCGAGATTGCACCACCGCACTCTAGCCTGGGCTATAGAGCGAGACTCTGTCACAAACAAAAGATTTACTATAATAACCATGGGCCTAATGGGAGTATCAGGAGAGGTGATCTCCCTCTCTGGACTTTGTATGCTTTTGCAATAATTTTAATAACATCACATAAATATTAAAGAAAACAGCAGCCAGAAACCCCCTATGTATTGACCCACAGGAAATATTCTTAGTTCTCAGCTGTATAAGACCAGGTTTGCTTCTAAGAATATTTACATTTTATTCAGTACAATAAGATGCTTTGGAGACCCTCTCTCTGAAACCCTCCCTGTTATTTCTTTTAACCAGGAGTATGGCATCCTGGGAATCTTGTTGGCCTTCTACAAGAAACTTTGTCTTTAAAATAAAAACCATTTATTTTATTCTTAGCTGCAACAGAACAGTAGCTTCAAAGAGAATTCAGTCAATGTGTGACATTTATCTTTATAGCAAATGGACATAATCTTCCCTCTATCGTGTCCCCTTTCAGAGGAGCTGTGTAGCATGTGCTGGGGGCGTAGGGTCATATGAAAGAAACCTCCCCCTCAAGTGTCACGTCTCTCTTGCAGGGCGGAAAGGCTATCGAGTGGTGGACTCTTTAAGGAATTAAATACACCATGACCTGGCAACCACTGAATCCTGTTCAAAAAAGAAGAATAAGGCCAAACCTAAAAGACGATTTTTTTTGTTCACGGTTTGGACTTCCCTTGACCTAAAGAAGGTCAAAGAAATGCTGGTGTCTAAATTACTCAAGGCGGAATCAGCTTTTCTAGAACATATCTCTTTGTAACTTAAGAATCAACTTTATATGCCTTTTCTTTTTTTGCACATTTTGAGAAATCGCTTTTTAAAAATGAAAGCCCTGCCTGAAATCAGGATGGTGTATAGTTTATTTTTGTGGCTTTTTGTTGTTGTTCTTGGGGGTGGTTATTATTTGTTTACTTAAGTCATTAGGCAACAGAAACTCTTTTCCCTGCTGTGAGCGGCCAGTGCACCTATGTATTTTGAATTAAACTAAGATTTCCTTCTAAGGGAGAGGAAAGAATAATAATGACAAATGTTCCGAAACAGGGGTGATGGCTCTCACCACATTTCCATAATGCTTCTTAGGTAAACTGAAGGTACATCCCAATCCAGCCCCAGGTGGCCCCCAAACCAACAGTACAATGTGTGGAAGGTGGGGGAGGGAGAAGAAAAGGGAGTTGGGGAGGGTGGAGGGGACAGATGGAGATGACCCACCTTTCCTTCCACTCCTCAGATGCCAAAATCAGGGATCCCCAGTAACACCAAATCGTGTACCCATGATACAAAGACAAATAACAAAATTAGATAATCTATGAACTCCTTATTAACCCATAATCTAGCTAGGCTGCTGGGAAGTGATGACATTCACTTTAACTGAAAAGAGTGAGGGCGTCCCCTCTTCTGTTTCCAATCCATGCAATAACAAACAGAACTTGAACGCAGGATGTGTCCACATGGACATATGGAATATTTTTCGGGTAACAATTTCAAGGACCCTCAATTTCTTGGCAGTGATCTTTCCTCATGCATGAGTTTTACAAAATGAAAGATTTTTAAAATAAAATTACTCTACCAATGAAGCTGCTTCTTTAAGTCTTAGACTGTGAACAGAAGCATGTTGAAATGGGGGAGTTGGGGTGGGGAGGCCTCACGTACAAGTCAATCAGCACAGGGTTCTATAACCCAAAGCTGAGAAGTTCCTTTCCCTCCTCTTTCAGTTTGAACATTCTGAACATCCATTGATTAAAATATTAAGTGTTTCAGCAATATAATAAATTTAGTAAAAAGCAAAGTAAGAAACGATTTCTTATAGATCTCCTATATTCAATTATTCTGAGAACCCCACTGAGTTGCCGGCATAGATTAAGTGCATTTAAACAAAAAAGGAACGTAGTTTTTCCCTCGGGTGTATTTCCTACAACAAAACAAACAAAAAGTCTACCATTCACTGGAAGCTCATGACCTCTTTCTCATCTTTACATGTATCTAGTTGTTTGAGAGAGAAAAAATTATATTCACAACTATTGCTGGTTATACCCGAGACTACTTTAATATGACAAAGCTACTACAGTTCGGATTTCAGGAAACATGGTTTTATCAGTCATTTCTTTCCAAGTCTTCAATCAACTAAAGTTTATTATTAATTCTGTATAAGCTTTTCCAAGTAACAAATGTCCACTTGAATGTATACTAGAAACACCATTCACACATTTATTCAATAACTAGATATGCAGAATATATATATAATTATTATTTTCATTTTTAAATTTTTATTTTTTTGAGACAGAGTCTCATCCACGCTGGAGTGCAGTGGCAGGATCTCAGCTCACTGCAACTTCTGCCTCCCAGATTCAAGCAACTCTCCTGCCTCAGCCTCCCGAGTAGCTGGGATTACAGGTGCACACCACCATGCCCGGCTAATTGTTTGTATTTTTAGTAGAGACGGGATTTCATCATATTCGTCAGGCTAGTCTCGATCCCGTGACCTCAGGTGACCCACCTGCTTTGGCCCCTCAAAGTGCTAGGATTACAGGCATGAGCCACTGTGCCTGGCCTAAAATTTTTTTATATATAGCCATACCTCTCTTTCTACCGCTACCCCTAAATGAAATTTCTATAAGTCAAGAGTGATTTTTTCCATTGTAAAGTTACCCCAGCCTCCTTTGCTCTTCTCCTTGTTTCCTAATATTACCCATTTCTCTCCTTATTTCACCAGATGGCAGGTGAGAAGAGAGGAGAAACGGAACTTAGAACTGACAAACAATCCTAGGATTTTATTGACATTTCAGAAACTCTGGAGTGAACAGTTTGGATCAGTGAGAGTCATAAAAGTCCCAGATACCCATTTTCCTCATTGTCTTCTGCTGTTGACTCAAGTTTTGAAGTAACTGTAATTAGCGCATATAGCTCACTCAGCCATTTAAAGGGAAAGTTGTCATAAATGCATCAAATTGATATTAACTATGATCATTCAGTCAATTATTTGCCATTCCAAACCCTCTTCATCACTGTTGCTGAAAATAATCAAAAGTTGGCTAGATACACACAATGGCAATGTTTGTACCGATGAGGATGCACATAGCCTACTTCCTGCTCCATTCTGGCAGGATATCCTTAAGAGACATCTGAAACCCCAACATGCATCCCCAGGAGCGTGTATTTATCATGCACACAATTTTAAAGCAAACCAGAACAAGAAATGGTGTTTCCACTGTGAGAATTCAAGTGACTAAATTTCTCCCTAAAAAGATGAATAATTGTGAATGCTAAGGTCCTATATGACAGCGATTGCTCCTTTGGAAAGACTGCCTCCACTAGAAAAACCTTAGGATTCAAATTTTCCACATGCATATTCCTTCAAAATTGGATTGGCTTTGAATTAAATAAAGCATTCACAGGAAATGTGTTGATTATGTTTGATTGACAATCTTTTTTAGAGTTCTTATAGGACAAGAAATTTTAGAAGAATAGGATACGTGAAAAGGGCTTAAATTCCACAAAAAGTAATAAAAATGCTAACATAAAAGTATATGCTGTGATAAATTAGGGCAGAGTAGTTCCTGATTGTACAAAAGTCCATTTGTGATGGAGGCAGCAGGAGTGTGGGCTCTCCCTTGTCCACTATTTCAAAAGCAGTGGGTTTTTTTCCCCTATGTTCAGTGATGCCATGCACTCCATGACAAAGATGCTTTGATCTTCTCCCATTAAATATATCTTGTACGGACCTAGTCTGAACTTAGTAAGAAAAAAAAAATCATTTGTATGAAAGGGAGGGAATGCTGCGTGTCTCTAAGATTATTCATTACCTTTCAAAAGTGAAGCTATTTGTGAAGTCTTTGTGTAATACGTACATGAAAGACTACTATGCTGCTTACTTAAAGTATTTTTGTTGTGCTCTTGCTTTCTATTCCTGCCTCAGATCAGATGGGGAACCCAACAGAAAAAGGCAATGAATAAGACACCATGGTTTATAGTCTAGAGGACTTACACGATGATTGAAAGAAAAGATGCCATACCTGAATTGGAGGGTTTAGAAACTCTTCCCTTAGGAACTGGGAGTAATAATAATTCCAGGGATTGTGGTGGTGGTGGTGGAGGTGGTGGAGGTGGTGCTGGAGGTGGCGGAGTGACTTTTTCTGGTTTCTTCTCTGAAGGCGGGGGCGGTAGAGGGTCCTCAGGCAGCAGCGATGACTTCTCAGCCAGAAGACTGCCCGCAGCCCTTGCTGCCACCTCCTTCAGAAGGGCCGCTGAGGAAGTCATAGAAGCCAGGGAAAGGAAGGAGCTGGCCGGTGGAGGGTGCTCCTGACCGGGAGTCAAACTTCTCTCACTGACCTTCTTGGACAAAGCGGCCAAGGTAGAACTGGCAGACTGGGAGCTAAAAGGGGAGGAAAAGGACTCAAATCGCATGGTCTCCTCAGTCCTGGTGAGAGATTTGTCCTGCAGAACGGCATTGGCTGCAGCTTTCAGTTTTAGGATGGCTGAATCCGGAGACAAGCTGCAGGTGGTGGTTGAGTTTGGCAACCACTTACCTTGATTCCATATAAAACGGTTACTTGGAGTGTATTGGTCATTCTGTTCCTGCTTCTCGGCCAACTTCCTGGCCAGAACACTGAGCTGCTGGGCGTGGTGGGAAGGTGGGGAAAAGGAGAGGTTCGAGCCAACATTTACGGGGGACTCCACTCTGCCATTGGCGGTGGCTGCAGCATCGAGTTTGAGGGAACCAGCCTCCAGCAGCCGCCTCAAGTTGCTGCTCAGGGGCTTGTTGGAGCCTGGGTCATCGTCACACAAAGAAGACACTCCCGGGGAAAGGTGATCTTGACACTGCAGTGAGTCTCGCAGGACCTCACCGTCCAGTGCCACCAGCTCCAGTGTGTGGCTGCTGGGAGTGGTGCTTCCCAAGGAGGTGTCGGGGGACGTGGACTGCTCCTGGATCCGGTCCTCCAGAGACAACTTATAGTTCTCCTGGACTTCCCCAAAGGATGCTTCTGACGGAGTCTCTGAAGAGTTTCCATACCAGTGTTCTCCTTCACTGAGCTCTCCCTCCGCCTCTTCCTGCCTACTAACATCTGGGGAGAATTAAGAAGATCAGGTTTACTCCCAAAGTGAACAATAAGTAAGTCTCAAGACATTCAAATGGAGTTGATGACATGCTTTCTCTTCCCTTCCACCCAAGAACCAAATGAAAGGTGGCAACAGCCTTAACAGAATGTCAGACAGACTTGGCAGAAGCCTGAAAAAAGTAAAAAATGCCAAACAGGCAAAGGTAAAAACGTACCCAAGTAGTCCAGATAAGCTGAAATGGAAAAGAAGGAAAAAGAAAAATAGATATGGTAAAGAGGTAATTGGATGAAGAAACTGCTATTTTCAGGCAATGGAGGGAATGGAAAGAAGCCTATATCCTTGTGAAAAACCAGCACAGTATGTTTAGCACTGTGACAGAATGAGAGAGGCAGCCTGGCATAGTGGGACACAGATCATGAGACACAGACAGTGGGAAGCGCTTCCCTACTTTCTAACTCCATGACTCTAGGCGAGTCACTGAGCTGGTTTGAGAATCCACTTCCTCCAATGTAAGATGCAATTCATTTTTTAAAAAGCTTATCAAAAATGTAAATAATACCTGCTTAACTCACTCCAGTTGTTATGAAGCTTAAATCATAATAAGCATGTGATCATGTTTTGAAAATAGTCAAGTACTGTATAAAATCAGACTTCATTAGCAAACACTACTCACATTTCTGACTTCTGACTGTGGCAGTACCTCCCATGTTATGCATGCTACCTATTTTAGGGTCCTTAACTCCAGTTGTCATCATGCTTGCCATGTTATTACAGGCAGTGATTAGGAATGTGTTCTCTCCCTCCACTAAGAGTCTCTTTTCGTTATTTTCTATTTATCGATCCACCACTACCACTCCCATAGCACTCCCATGCACCAGTTAGGCAGGCTCCTTGCCATTCTAGGGGCATTCACAAGCCCTGCCACTTTTCTACCTTTTCTCACGATATTCCTTCTATCTGAAATGTCTTTCCCCAGAAAAGCTGACTGTCCAATTCTACTTACCCTTCAACACCCAGCTCAAAGGTTTCTTCCTTACAATTCTCCCTGGAACTCTCAGTCAGAATGAACAAAACTAAGATCTTGCCTTCTTGGGCTTACATTCCAGAGGGGGAAGACAAGTGTCAAACAAAATTAATAAATGGGTAAATAACATAGCATGCCAGAGGGTGATAAGTCCATGGAAAACCACATAGGGCAGGACATGGAGGATGGGGAGTAATGGGTGGGAAGAGAGCTGCAATTTTAAATAGGTGGTCAAGGTGGAGCTTCACGGAAGTGGTGACATTTGAGCAAAGACTTGGAGGAAGTGAGAAACTGACTATGCAGAGGGAGAGTCACTGTGAAGGCCTTGCTGTGGGAACATGGCTGGCACGTCCATGGAGCAGCACTGAAGCCAGTGTGCGTGGAGTGCAGTGAGTGAGGTCAGAGCAGTGACACAGGAGGTCATAGAATACCATGAGTGAGTGTGAGCATGTGTATGACAGTGCGTATGCATGTGTGTGCATGTGCGCATGCACTGTGGTGCAGGAATGGAGTCACGCACATCCACAGGATGTTGTGAACTGCAGAAACATCTTCTGAATTTGGCAAAACTGGAGACCACTGGATGGTTTGTGGCAAGAGAGTATTATGACGTGACTTATGCTGTCAAATCATTGTTCTGGCTGCTGTGTGGAACACAGACTCCAGCTACAAGGATGAGCACCAGGAGGCCAGCTAGGAGGCTAGAATCCAGGTGGGGATTATGAAGGCTCAGCTCAGGACTGCAAGGGGTGAGAAGTGACCCAATTAGGTACATATTTTTATTGCAGAGCCAACATTCTCATATTTTGTTTATATTGATTTTATATTACTCTAAATTATCTGTCTACGGTTGGCTTCCTTCTAAAGTGGTGCTCCTAGAAGGCAGGGATTGTATTTTATTATCTACATATTCCACACTGTGCCTGGCACAATGTCTGGTCCCTAGTAGAGTTCAATGTATGTGTCGGGATTGAGCCAAAATCCCTCCTTGCACCAAGTTTTGCCATATAACATGCTGTTTCTGTTTGAAATAGAAATAACTAGAACTAGTAATGCATGAACTATACACTAATACATTGATCTTCCCATGCTATTTAGAGAAGAAATGTCACAAATGACAAATTCTCTTTCATGAAGCTAAAATTCTGCAACTCCTTCCTGAGATTCTTTATTAAGTTATCAAGAAAATGTAAAATATCAAATGGAATTTGCTGGGAAAAAAGCAGATTAAATTGAATTTTCTCTGTTAAAAACAGTCTGGTTCTTTGTGATCTGCCACATTTCCTTCTTCCCACTTGATTTCAACATTTTTCATCTTTCTTGAAATTGGCGGCAACCCTAAACTCATCATTTCTCCAGTGGCTTCTTGGAGAGATGCTTTTTACCAAACACCAAGCAGTCAACATCGATTTCAACAATAGGGCTAATTTTATGTTTCTTTGGCAAACCACCTTTCTTGATTTCAGATTAAACATCTCATCCTTCAGCAGAATCACATAGGAAGTATCCTATAAATAGTAAGTCAAAAGTTTAAAAATCCCTACAGTAAGAATTTGTTGAATATCTGCTCAAAGAATCTTTTCTTTAATCTTTACTATTAAATGAAGTACACTCATTAAGTGAAGTAATGGGAAAATATATTTTTCAAATTTAAATACTTTTAGGTCATATGTGTGTCATACCAGAGTAGCTCAAAGTAATCAAGAATGGTTCCAAACTAATGAAGCAGGGTCACCTAACAACATACATAAAATCTGGGTTTTGAGAACCACAAGAAGTTACAACCACACATCCAATCTTGTCATTTTACGCAGACTATTAAATACATTAAGTAAAGGTTACTGGCTGAATCAAAGGCACACGACCACATAGAGCTAATGCAGAAACCAAGAACCCCAAATCTCTCAGCTGGCCCAGTGCTTCTCTGCAAGGCTCCACTGCACAATCTGCAGACAGAACCTCTGAATGATGACTTCTAGAGAGCTCTGAGCAGCTACTCACCCCCTTTCCATTCCCCGTCCTTCCTGCCAGCCTCTTGAATCAGAAATCAGCAAGGGATTCTCTTAGATAAGGACAGTATTCACTCTTTATCTTCAGATAAATCATTAAGAGGTGAGTACTCATTATTCCTGTACTCTAATCTCTTCATTCCCATTCTGCCTCTTCTTTGTTGCAGTTGGTCAAAAGGAGATTCAAATGCCTAAAGAATTTAGCACATCTACTGGCAAAGTTCCAAAAGCAAAGCTTAATTTCCTAACCCCCTCCACACCCTCAGTGAGCAAGAATAATCCCCCTCCAAACGTGCTGAAACAGGTGAGTGTGCAAAGAGGTAAGTGTGCCAAAGGCTAAAGAAACAGTCAACTCAGGCTCTAATCCTACCAAGCAGTGATAAAGATGTCCGAACATTCTTGAAAGATACAACAGCTAATATTTACATTTAAAGCAACTTTCCTAACCTTGACAAAACACAGACTCAAAACAAACAAGTGAATAAACAAAGTATTTCTTTTTTTTTTTTTTTTTTTTGAGACAGTGTCTTACTCTGTCACCCAGGTTGGAGTGCAGTGGGATGATCTCGGCTCACTGCAAGCTCCGCCTCCTGGGTCCACACCATTATCCTGCCTCAGCCTCCTCAGTAGCTGGGACTACAGGCGCCCGCCACCACATCCGGCTAATTTTTTTTTTTTTTTTGTATTTTTAGTAGAGATGAGGTTTCACCATGTTAGCCAAGATGGTCTCGATCTCCTGACCTCGTGATCTGCCCACCTTGGCCTCCCAAAGTGCTGGGATTACAGGCGTGAGCCACCACGCCCAGCCTAAATAAAGTATTTCTTAAATAGAACTGTTTATGGCTCCTCAAATGCCTAGATAATTTCTCAACCACCCATCCCTCTATTGTTTGCAGACTTGTTCACTGAGATACACATACCTCTGGACTGCAAGAAAACTTGGATGCATAAAGAGTATTTCTTAAATTCATAATACTCTATTAATCACTTTATTGAAGATGCTGCTACTGAAATTGAGGTTATTCAAGAAATAAGCTACCATATAATTTTAATGCATGGCATAGAAAGAGAAAGAGCAGAAACTTGAGGAGAAACATACCTGAAATTATTCTGGCAATACCTGAGGTCAAATAAATGGTGGGGGGAGATTTGGGAGAAATGAATGCAAGAAAATGAGGATGTGCAGAGGGTGGGGAAAAATCATAAGAAGCTCAAACAAATATATGTCTGTGTTCACAAAACAGCAAGGATTTTCTCCCACTTTTTTTTTTTTTTCTTTTTTGCCTGCTGGGCTCCTCTATTTTCATGTCCAATCTCATCAAGGAGTTCTTGAAGGCTGCAGTGGTCCAGCTATGGTGAGCTCTCCTGCAGAGTCTGTAGGACAACCTGCACCTTTCCTAGCCTGGAATTTCCTTTCACACTACATCCTGAAAAAAAGTTCTCTCATTGTGAAGCTCAAAACAAAGCATTCCTGAAATCTAGAGGATGAATTTGCTGGACACAACAAACTTCAGAACATGCAAACCTTGACTTTTCTGTCTCTCTTTCACAATCTGAGAAGTCTCAGGCAGCAAGACACCTCCATTTTCCAGTCTGCCAACCAGCACGGACTCTTTACATGGAATCACGGAACAGTACCACACAAGCCAGGGTCCTGGAAGTGCTTCCTGCCGTACACTGACCGTGGATTTCACAGCTTTCTTAACCAAGGCTTCCCGGGGAAGCCTCTAAATGGCCAATGTAAATAACTTCCTTGTAAATACATTATTTTTAACCTCCAGAGAAGAAAGCTATTTCCATTGCTAATTTTACAACAACCTCTGTCTCTGACTGTCAGGTTCACACTCATTCTTGTCAATTTTACACAACAGTCTGTTTTTGTGTGTGTTTTCCCTTTAAATCAGAAACACAAAGAATTAAGAATAGCAATGGTGCAATTACAGAATGAAAATATGCTGAATAAATTTTGTTT